CAGAATGCTGTTTTCACTCTTCTTCAAAGGAAATTGGATTTTGTAAAGCAGAGCTATCTACCTGGCAGTGCTTTTATTATGCTTACAAAGTACAAGATTTGTACTCTAATATCATCTCACAATTAGAATTCATTTTCAGACCGTAAATTTTTAAAATTACTTTACTTGAGTAATTTTCACATCATGGTTACAAAATTAGGTCAAGACAAGCGGAAATAATTCCACAGCACAATAATGTTTTTACTCTCACATGATCTATATACCTAATAATCACAGGGTGATTCATTGGTTACCTTTAGAAAATATACCACTAAGTGTGTCAGTGCTTTGTACTCAAGCAAATTTATTAAAAAAAATTCCGTATTTGGTGATTTTGCTGTGTGGGAAAAAAGATGTGCTGCTTCTAGAAGCACAGCAAATAAGGATCACCAAAACAAGATATGGAGGAGAAAAAGAAAAATGAATGACAGTAATTTGTGTCAGGAGAAAGAGCTCTTATGAAAGACATGAGCTTCAGAGTCATGCAATATGAATGTGAAGAGTGTCATAAACTCGAGAATCATACAGTTTAGTTGCAGCAGAGGATCGACCCTACCAATATTCTAATCTGGGAAATGTGGGTAGGTCCAAGGAACCCTCACCTTGAAAATTCATTTCTAGATAACCCCATCCTATCTATTTATTTTAAAGATGTAACTTAATCTGTGAAAACGWAAAATAATTTTCATCTTCATTACCTCATCTTATTTTCATATTTTTCTTACTAGAAAAGGTTTTAGGCCTAATAGTACATCTTTCTCTTTGTATATATGTATATACGTGTCTGTATGCATGTGTGTGTATATATATATATAATTATAATCACATTTTTGTTTTTTTGCAAACTAAGCTGTGGTAAATGGAGTATTATGAAAATAAATAAGCAACCTTTGTCATGTCACCCTGCGTAACTGGTGCTTGTATAGAATGCTTGATTAAAGCCAGTAGTGCAGAATGTTTTTTCAAAGTTAAAGCCCTTGTTGATGCTTTTGCATTTTTTTCTTTGAGAAGTTTTCCTTGTGAAGCCTAGGGAGCTGCATACTGACAGAAAGGGGAATATAAAACTTAGTGTAAAGTCATTTGAGAATAACTTGTTCCCACTGATTATAATGGCCTGGGGAGCACTGCTGTAAAATGACACAGAATAATAACTCTTTTGTGAATTAGAAAAAAAAAAAAAAGATGAAGAATCTTATGTGGATGTTCTCTTAATGTATATCCCTGCCTAGCACAAATCAATATCATTTTTTTTAGCAAATGCCATAAGAAAAAAAGGACATGTATTATGAAACCATATCAATATCTTGCCAAAAGGTAGTATTAAACCATGAGGAATGAGCGAAAAGAAGCTCTGACGGAGAATAAATGCCTGAAGATGACAAAATACTGCATTAGCTATAGTCGACTTGATGTTCAAAATCAAAATAGTGGGTTTTCTTGTCTGTGTTTTGCATTCATATAGGAATGGCTGGTGATATAACATTGATATTGGAATTTGAGGCAAACTGATGTCTTTGCCTTGTGGGGCACTTTGATATTGGCATTTGCAGGAACAAGCAATTACATGTGGAATCCTAAATAAGGACCCAGGAATATCCAGTATAGCAACAACTGTCAAGTAGTGCCTGGATTTGGACAATTATACACAGACAAAATACAGGTACAGCTCTGGGACTATGTTCAGGAAGAATTTGGAACAAGTTATGTAAAAGCTACTGATGGTGATGATGTCTTTCTCTGTTGGTCATTTGTGCTGCAAGCTGTGCTGTATTTGCCATTTTATAGTTACACCTGCTAAGTCAGTGGCACGAGCCCCACTGATTGAAGAGGATATTTGAATTAATCGCTAGTAGTTTATATATATGGATGGTCCTGAGAGCTGGGAACACACATGTGTGCATATCGTGCATATCTAATTCCAGGAGGTGGAAAATTATGAGACCCTCCTAAGGATAGGGCTAGCATGAATTAAATCTTAAGGCATCATTAAAGATGGCTTGATGAAACCTGCATTCTTGTATGCTGTTTTTTGTGTACAACAGTCAATTTAAATTGATGTTTGCTACTGAAAGCACTTCTCTCTGAGCCTGTCCTTTGTAGTTAATAATGCTTCCATTCAAATCAGGTCGTGCAAAGTTCTTTAGAAGCTTTTACACTGCCTTGATGTGAGGACAGAAATAATAGGAAAGTTGGCTTTAGGTGTCGTGATTGCCACAAGAGTAGATATAATACAAGAAAACAATTATTTATTGATCCCCTCAGTTATATCTCTGTATTTACTTCTTCTGACTTGCACATTTTTTYTATATATTTGATTCACCTTGTTATTTTTATTTTCTTAAAGATGAGACAGTGTTTTAAAAAATAAAGGTTAAATACTCCTTTAATAAAAATCAAAATGTATGTGTACCTCTTTATGTATTTTAATTGATTTTATTTGTTTGTTTTTGAGAATTAAGTGGAATGTCACGGAACTCGAAAAGTGACAATTTTCTGGATTTAAAATGTGACTAAATAACTACAACAAAACATGGTGCTGAGGAAATTAATAAATAATAATGATAATTTTATTTCTTCCACCTARTAGACAGTGACAGGACTTCATTGAAATGGGTTGTGTCAGGTTAACATAAAACTGTGCAGTTGATTGAATTGGGCCATTCCTGGAAATTTCTCAGCCTTGCTTAAGTTAAGTCTGTTTTCACAGATTGCAGCATTGCTGGTGTTAATCACGGAGCTGATGGRTCATTTCTGCCTGCAATTTGTGACCTCTTATGTGTTCCTGCCTTTCTGTTAGTCTTCAGATCTTGCAGAATGATCCTTCTTGTCTTTTGCATGATATGCCCATAATTTATACCATATGAGACAGTCTTAGGTTTTGTAGTCACTATGCTGAAAAATTGGGGAGAGTGTTCTACATGTAGCATTGTGAAGTTTCATCACTCCTTTCCATGACATTGCTTTCTTGGTATGCACTACAGAAGTAATAAACTGTGTAACATGTATAAAATGAAATTAAACATATTCCAAGGTTTGTAATAGGTAACATCAATTAAGGTTCTATAATGAACAAGAAGGATAGAACAATATTTAATAAGAAATTATTAAGTGAGCCTCATTTATGAAAGACACAAATAGCACCTATCATAAAATAAAAATCTCATCCCATTTGTGAATTTACAAAACACAATGTTTAACAGGCAGAAGCAAATGTAACTCCGGCACTCACATTCTTGGTTTTGTAAACTGGCTGCCCTTAGCTATAGTTTTTCCTGCTTAATTCACGTGAGCCAATACGCACACATGTCTCTTCATTACCATCTTGCAGAAAGGATTTCTCTCCATGGCAGTAGAAGGTCCTTAGATAAAACACTTGCACATGTCAGAAGCAAGCAATGTGGTACAAGAACTCAGCATCCCACCTTGGCACTGGAATGTTAAGCTTAGTTTTGTGGTGGCATGAAGAAATAAAACGGGGCTGGAAACATCAATTTTCCATCAAGAGTARAAATTAAGTTTTCAGTATTGCCTGTGGAGGTGAAAAGGAGTCTGTAAGAGGGGGCTAAAGTGTGTGAGCTGCCTTGGTGATGATTTTTCATTGTCTAGTGCTTGAAGCCCAGGTTCTTGCATTTAAAAAAATACAATCAAACCTTCTCCTTCTCAAACCTTCAAATTGGAAGACAGGCATCTGGAAARGAATATAATAACTTAGGTAAAAAGACCACTAGACAAGAGACGAATGAGGTTATTGAGTGCTCCATGTCCTTGAACAATTATAAACTTGTCTGGTTATAAAATATTAGTGCAGCAAATCTGGAGCAGAATCATTTGTGCTGTGCCAGGTGTCAGTGCTTAGGGTCACTTGGTACCTCTCTGCTTTCAGTCCTTTATAATTGGACAATACTTGTATTTCCTTACTTGTTTGCTTTCCATACATACACAATTCTTGATCTTTTTTTCTTGTGAAAGTCTTATTTACTAATCATCACTGCCTGATGTAAGAGCAATATTGGTGGCTTTAGGTGGAATCTTTTTTACTACAATTATATCTTAAGATTAGAGCATCGAATTATTTTTCTGTAGTATAATTCCATCCTGTGTTTAGGAAAATAATATAAATATTACTTTTAAAGTGATGTATTATTATCATGTATAAAATCATAGTGGAGTGCGAGTCTGAGCAGTTATTCAAATCTCTGACCTTATTTGCTTCCTTATATGAAATGCAGCTGGACTAATTAGCAGTGTAGGAAGTTAAACCTGCAAGGTCTAATTTTTATGTTATTTTAAGGCTTTTTCACCAGGCTGACAGTACAAAGAAATGGCACTTAGGTTTGCTTTCGCTAAAGACCTTTAATAAGAGGGAGACATAATAATCTGTTTTCAGATGAAACATGAATTAGGATGTCGGGATTGAAGTGCCTTTACTGAAATGTTTTAGAGATATTTTGGTCATGTTATTTTCAGGGGAGAAAAAAGCCCGCAGAAGAAATCTGGATAAGCAAGGCAATTGAGAAAGAAATGTCCAAAATAATATATATTTTGGTTAACATATGTCAGGTAAATATTAGATGAAAATCACTATATTCTAGTTTAAAGGAGGTCTTCATTCAAGTGGTGTTAAATACAGATTATACATGGTGAGGGTTACTTTTATCTGAGACTGCAGGTGAAAGTGTATGAGCCGTAGCAATTTTTTATGTCTTTTTATGTCTTTTTATGTCTTTTTATGTTCTGTTTTAGAACAAAGAATAAAGGACCAAATGTTTGCTTTTATTATATTTATTGCACCAATTTGAGATCTCTAGATGTCGGTGGACATCGTGAATACTGTGCAAATGAGTATCTAGGTGTCTTTTTCTTTATCTCATGGATCAAGGAAATATGGACCTAAGCATGCAGAATTAAATAAATGAATTGTACCTCACTGACTTTAATGCTGTTTTCTATTTATTTTGCAGTTTAACAATAACGCGCAGAACGTGAGTTGCTTCAATCACCTTGTCCAGGCGAATGTGAGGAACAAGAAGAAGCTGAAAGAAGCAGTCTATAAAATCTCTGCTAAAGGAATCACTGATTATAAGAAAGGCTTTAGCTATGCTTTCGAACAGCTGCTAAACGTGAGTATGCGAGTCGTCTCTCCCTKCCATAGAGCACAGTTCTAGACCTCCGATATCCACATGGCCCCTGCATGCTCCTCCATCACCCTGATAATCTGCTGAGCGACAAATAAGACAGTGACTTTCCTTAACAAGCAAATACATCCCTTGCAGATCCGCCCTTCCAGCAGCCTGAGATTGCTAAAATTTAGGAATACATTTGTTTTTCAATATTGTACTTTGTCACTTCATTCATTCTATTTTTTTTTCATTTTCCATGTGTTTCTCAGTTGTTTCATAGCTGTGGTAAGAAAGCATTGTTATGTTAATTGCCATTTCAGGTATAGGATCTCCTAATGTTCAGTTATCTAATGTTCCCCATGTTTGCCAAAGTTCAATTTATCTGTAACTTTATMTTAATCTTATTTCATATTTCAATGATAAACCATGGCTTGAACTGAATGAAAGAGGGCAAATAGCTATTAGTTAATAGAAGGATATTAGGCAGCTGAGATTATTCTAGTTCTTTTCTTCCTTTCTGTTATTTCATCAAAAATTAAATGCATTGACTCCATGTTTTAATTATATTTTAACTTTCTAGCTTTTACCCAAGCACTACTTTTCTGGTTAGTAATAATGTTTCATACTCAGTGTAAATGTTGGGCTTTGTTAGTCATTTTTGGAGTAATTTATGTATAGTAGTTTATAGTAGCTTAAAATAGCTCTCTACATTTCACCTTCATAAAGATCGCAGATTGGATTCTCACTGTAGTGTACATAAAGTTGTACCAATTTACAGAAGCTAGAGTTCTTGCTTAGTAAATATGATGTCCACACATTTTTACCTGCTTCATTTTATTTCAGTAATGCCTCTTGGAGGAGGCATCTTTACTTTTCTCSTTCAGTCTACCAGGATCTGGCTGCTTTCCTGTCCCCAGATATGCACCCTGGGYCTAATGGTGTCTGATAAATTCCTAAACTAGGGAAAGTTTGATGGAGGAAAAGAACATGAAGTATTTTCAAAACATGTTCTTGCCAGATGAGCCTTTTGTCTGGCAGAGGGATTTGGTGGGGAAATGATTACATGCCCTCTGCTGATGGCTAATGAAATTGCAAAGGATATTTTAAAAACTGWCTTTTTCCATATTTCGCCCCTTTTTGGTATCTGTTCCTATCGTGTGCAGTAGAAGCCAGGAAGATACAAGAAATTTTTCCAGACAGAGTTTGACTCCTCACATCGTTTCAAAAAAATACTGCTGCCGGTATGCTGTTACGTAGGAATAGATATATTAGGTTTTTTTCAGCATACTAGTTCAAGTGGTATTCATAATTTGGATGCCATAATTTTAGCCTTTTTCGTATATTGATATATTAACTCAGTATGTCTTTGCAAATAATGTTGTTTTAACTCCTCTAATTTAGGAGTTTTGTTCCCATTCCCCTAAGCATCCTGAAAGCATCTGTTCTGAAATCACATAGCTGATTTTTGGCTTCCTTTACCTTTCTTAGTGGCACAAAATTGGCACTGAAAAATTCATTCTTAAAGTTTCRTGTCCTGGAGTATAGCCCTGACCTACTCAAAGAATTATAGCCTGGAGAAGAGGAGATTGAGAAGGGATCTTTTCAATATGAATAAGTACCTGAGGGGAAATATAAAGAGGAGGGGGCCAAACTCTTCTCAGTGGTGGCTGGTGACGGAGAAGGGGGCAATGGGTCCAAGTTGAAACCCAGGCAGCTCCATCTGCATGTGAGGAAGAACTTSTTTGCTGTGAGGGTGCCAGAGCCCTGGCACAGGCTGCCCAGGGAGGCTGTGGAGTCTCCTTCTCTGGAGATCTTCCAAAGGCGCCTGGATGTCGCCCTGTGCCCCGTGCTCTGGGTGTCCCTGCTGGAGCAGGGGRTTGGACTGGATGCTCTCTAGAGGTCCCTTCCAACCTCAACCATTCTGTGATTCGGTGATTCGGTGATTCTGTGTGGGAGTCACATAAACTGTGCAATGCCTTATTGACTTTGAAAAACAAAACAAGGCAAAATCAAGAAAAAAATATATGACTTTTATTAAGTGCAAGTGAGAGCTAAAATGAGGACTTAGGCTTAGTTCCAACCCTTTTTCTTTTGTGGTCTAAGCTAATAAGCCAGCTTGGATGTTTTCTACTGGGAAATGCTCTTCTCCTGAGTCTGTTGTAAGAGGGCAGAAACATTTCTTGGCATGGTGGTGCAAGCTCTTTGGAAAAATGATGGATTTACTGCATCAGGTTTTGCAAAATCTATTYAAGCCCTCAGCCAGTATCTCTCCATCGTTATGGCTGTAGAGACAAAAAAAAAAAAAGAAAAGGAAAATGTGCTCTAAAGACCATCTTGCCTTACATTTCATCACTTATGAAGGACTAGGTTCTTATGAAGGAACAGGTTCTTTCACCAGGACACACGCTGTGTATGTGCGTGGTAGGGGACATGCTTTCACCATTAGATCTGAAACACAGTTTAAATTCAAAAATCTTAGTATCCTTTTTTATGACATCACTTTAGTGTCTGAACAGTGCGGTGTAAGTAAAAGCCAATGTGTAAATATGAGAAGGTATGGAGGAGAAAATGCTTCATTTTTCTGGTGCTATCTAAGCATGTGCTGACTAAGCCACTGGGAAAATCCTAGTTTAATCCATTATAACAAAGACTAGATTGAGTTCAAACTTTGTTTATAATAACTCTCCTTTTAAAATCAATAAGAAAGTTATATAAGACAGGCAGGCTTTGGTCCCTTCTATGTCATCGTCTTTGTGTCCCTCTTGATTTTATTTTGGCCTATATATTAAATCACTAGAAATGTAGGTGAGTTTTTTTATGAGGTATCTCGCTCAACTTTTATTACTTTTTTAACATGAAAAAGACTGCAGMACAAAGCAGTATATTGTAGGTTGTATTTCTCAAGCAAAATGTGGTCATAAATAATTTATTTCTAAATGAAACACAGAGTGCTGATGCAATGGGAGGGAGTATGTTGACTTCAAGCTTTTTTTATTTGTTGCATGTAAGAAAATCTTTGTTTTTTTCCAAATGGTTAAATAAATATTCAGTTAATACTGAACCATAAATACAAAATATCTCTTAAATATAAAGACTACAAAGAAAGTTCACTTGCTGAGAGTAATCTGAAGCTTGCAGCTGCTGCAGTCAGGCTCTCTGGATGAGGGCCTGGCTTTAGCTCTGTAGTCTTTCTGATAATGGAAACACAGGCAATCAAATCAGAAAATAGGATGAAAAGTAACTGTGGGAGGTGGGATCATCTCACCTGGCCACTCAAGTTCTCATTCTCTCAGATGATAAAGATTCCTTAAAAAACAGGAGGGAATTAGGTACTTTACAAGCCGCCTTCTTACAGGAAAAGTAAAAACAACAAAAGAGTAAGGATTTATGGGGATGAGCTGATTTGAAGGAAAATTGGCAAAAACAGTAAACACAGAATCATCTCTAAGTTCACTGAGCCTTATAGTTTCTGTGAGTAAGAGTCCCACAGAAAAAAARGTAGAGGTGTTGCACATGAAAGTTTGTTAGTTCTTTAGAGGGCCACTGTCCTGAATAACCATAAGGWTAGTTGAGATGGAGAAGGGAAGGTTAAAGCCCTTGGAGGCCCTCCCTCAGTGTCACAGAGTGCATCTTGGAGAACGTGTGACAAGTGACCTGATGAGTACCTGATGGGTGCGACCTAGCTGAGGTGGCATGGACTAGATGGGCAGTCCTCTGCATTGGGCCAGATCTCTCATGTGTCTTCTTTGGCTCTCAAGGAATGGAAAAACCTCTTTTTGTTGTTTGGTTGCTTTGGGTTTTCATTCATTTCATGTAGTCCAAGCAACATTTCTGTGACATGAAGACAAAATATAGAATTGGAAAAACTGTCTCGAGGTATTGCTGCTGGATGAAATCTTAGAAGACTTTGGAAGTTTTGTCTTTGGTCCCAAGAAGGCTGCAGTTTTACCTGTAATGTTAAAGTTGTAAGGAGGTTAATGTGGAAGGCATCAGATACATCTTGTGTTATTTTGAATAGCCTGAAATAAGAAATGTTTTTCTTTGTATCTCCTACAGCACAGTGTCTCTAGAGCTAACTGCAATAAGATTATCATGTTGTTTACGGATGGTGGTGAAGAAAGAGCACAAGAAATTTTCCACAAATATAATGAAGACAAAAAGGTAAGTGGTATGTGAAAGACTGTACAAAAAAAAAAAAAAAAGAATATTTTAGGCTGGAAATAATAATGCCTACCTTTTAAAATCTCTTAGCCTTGAACCTAAGGCCACTTAAAGCTTTCTCAATCTATAACATTTCTCTGAAAAGATAATAAGATATATTTAATATTTTATACTTTGAGAAGTTGAACATATACAGACTAGCAAAAGCTTCAATTGCTGTGTGAATTTAATTATATGTTTGCACAATTTAGCTAGGATTGGGATGGCTGAAATTTGTAATTCAGTAATTTTCCATTACTGAAGTTTGTTCTGTAGTTCAACTAGAATTACGGGTTTCACAAAGGAGTCACGGGATTTGTCTTGCTAACGTTAGATTATTAGTTGTGCTTTTTTTTTTTTAATTTATTTTTGAATTTAATCAAACTTCCTATCTGATTTTTGCATACAGATTACACATATTCACAAACACATGGTATGTGTGTTTGTCTCTATATGGTATAAACTTCAGTTCTATGAATTGATCCTTACCATCCTTCAGTGTAGGTAAATATGTTTGGAAGATTTATTCCTTTTTAAAGGAAATTTAAGTATGATCTCACTCTTTATTAAAACTGAGCATTCACCTTTCCTAGTGTTTGGGAATGAGCCTGTAGATGTCTCTTATTTTTTGTAAGCTAAAAGTTAGATCCAGCAATTCACCAAGATGCTAAAACTGTTGCCGTGAGTGCCTGTATATAAAGCAGTGGAGGCAATTAGAAGTCCTCATGTACTTGAGTTGATCCCTTTGAAAGGGGAAATGAGAAACACGAAATGCAATTTCCATCTTCACCAGTGACTCATTCTGCGACCTTGGACAACTGCTCCGTGCCTGCCCTATAGTGGCATTCCGGGTGGAATGATGCACCCGCGCTCAGTTAACCTTTGTGTCTCAGCTGAAAGCATTTTTTAAACTGACAATTAATTAGATGGAAGACCTGAAAACATGGCAACTCAATCTACGACTCACATAGCTTATGCTGAAATAATATGGCTGAAAATAATAGAGCTTATGCTGAAATAATGTAATATCTTCAAATATAATATTTGAAGATTCCTCTTCAAATTTGAACTCAGTAGCTTGTATTATACTAAGTGCCATCAGTTAAAGGAAAGCATATATTCCTTATTATTTTCATTTAATTCTCTGTGTGAGGAGGAAAGCATCGTAAAATATCCAGTTGTAAAAAAGATACACATTTGCAATCTTAACAACACTGTGCCTGACATTCCATTATTCAAGGAGGTATAATAGAGATTTATTAATTTAATATGATCTTTTTTCCTATAATGTTGTAAATTTACACTGCTAAGAATTGAATTATTTTTACGTATACTGTAACTCTATGGCACACTCTTGCTTTCTTGTTACTAGTAACAAATGAAGATGTAGACATTTTACTGTATACAACATGTGTGGGTGATAGTGGTCACAGTCTGGAATTCTGTTTGTTTGGATGTAACTTCTTATAYAATTAAGTATAATGGAAAACCTCTTGCACTTGATTAAGTTATATATATCTAAAATACAAATCTTAGTAGACATCTATGTTTTTGTTCCTTATTTATTAAAGTACTATGCTGCTTGATGCCATCCCTTACTGCTTTTCTTCAAGGTGACTTCAGAAATATAAGGAATAATAAGAAGGTTTTTGGCAGGTGTACCTTGAAGAACCATCACCTGCTCCTTGGGTAAACTTTGTAGTTTTCAGTCAGCAGCAAACTTTGTGCCCTTGGAGCAGAATTTGTGGTAGCAAAGTAAGGGTTTTTTTTTTTTTTTTTTTTTTTTAAGGAGAATGTCTAAAGAGAGTGGATAATGTTAGTAAGTTAATCTTTATAAGTTATAATAAGATCTCCCTGACAATCTTTTGTAACAATTTAGTATTTTTGAAAATAAGACAAATATATTAGTGAACATAGTCTGCCTGTAAAGGGTACACTGGATTCTGGAATAATAAAAAGCTTTCTCCTCCTCTGTGGAGGAGAATTTAATGAAATTTAATACAGTAGAGCAAAATTGCATAATATGCAAATATACATAATAGTATAACTGATAAATGCATTCTAATGTTAAAAATAAATGTAKACTACTAAGTTTGTAAAGTAATGATCATGGCCAGTGATGTTGCCTTCTTAGTTGCCAATGTAGGATGCTTTCATAGGTGAAGTGCTAAGAAACATGAAGACATAGGGATCTAGATTCTGGTGTCTTCATTAAAATTTATATATGTTATAGATGTGTAGTTTTTTTTGTTTTGTTTTCTTTTTCCTACAAATAGTTTGTAACATGCTAGATGGTTAGTTTCATAATAATTTGTAGCAGTACTATTGGGTGSCATGAGTAAGGTATTAAAAAAGAGTTTACTGTCTTTTACACTTGCAAGACTGCACAGTATCAATATCTGTCATGTAGTGCAAGCCAGGCACGGAARGAGATTTGCTTGATCACTTTGTGCTTTGCAAACAATATACTAACAATGAATCTTTTATTATTTTACTGTGTCACAGTACATAGGATAATTGTCCTGTTAACTTAGAAGGTTACAACCCTTTGAGCTAGCATACAAATATATTTAAAGTAGTTAAACTACTTTAATAGTTTGGGGTTTTTTGTTTGTTTGTTTGCTTTTTTGGGGAAGTTAAATTACAACTCAAACTATGAATGTGAAGATCTCTATAAAACAGATATAATAATGTAGGGGAGGAACATTTCTAGTTTTTATTTTATTTGAAGTAGAAAGTCACAATTGCGTTTTACCTTTGCTTGTCTTTTTCCCTTAATGAAGCCAGATTTTATTGTCAGAGACTGCAAGTGTATGCCATGTGTGATATTCTAAAATTTGCATATTTACTTTTACTGTGGCCCTGGGGGTTGTTGCACTTATTGTGTGAAATACCATGCAAATGGCTAATTTTAGGAACGAGGCTGGTAAATTCTTGTTTTATTTGCACTCATGCTGCAGATGGCTTCACTGAAGATAGCAATATAAATTTAATTGAAATGTAGGCACAGTAGGCGTTCTCCAGCCTGAGAACATTGAACTTAGGTTAAAAATAGGCAACTAGCTCTGGCGTTTTGGAGTATGTTGTACACTCTGAAATAGGAACATTGAAGGATTGCTCAACTCATGTAGGCAGGACTGTAAACATTCCTCAAGCATTTTAGGTTGATATTTTGCAAAACTGTCTTGTAAAAGAAATTCCCTCTGCTTTTATTATCTATAAAACACAGTAACTATTAGGTTTATTGGTCTGAATGCCTTTTTGCACAATTAAAAGTAAATTTTACAGGCAGTGRTTCTGCTACTGGTGTTAATGTAGACAGAAGCCTGGTTCTGCTAGAGTCATTTGAGAGGAGCCTGAAAGCTTTTCTCTCGACTACAAATGACCATGAAAAAAGCGCATGACATTTCCACTTGGGGTAGCCATGGGACTCTGGCTGGTGTCAGCCTGAATAAATGTAACTTTCTACACTTAATCATAAAGCTGAAAATAGAAGCACCATCTTTCACAGCACTAACTGTTCATAATGCTTAACAACTGTCCAAGTGTTCTCCTCTAGTTAGACTTGCTACGCAAGATGTAACATGAAGGTTGAAGTGAGCAGGTATCTGGAATTTCTGGTTTTAGATCTGAATGACAGGTACATAGTTTGCTAGCCAAAATGCCAAAAAAAATGACAAACAATTTTTTTTTTAAGCTTTTTATATATTAAATTGTTCTCTGGGCTTCTCTTTCATTGCTTTCTGTAGTCTTTGGACACCCAGAAGCTAGGACACTTCTTATTTCTTCTGATTAATCAATGTGAGCAGTGAATTGTAATGATGGTACAGTACCTCTTAGGCAAGAGAAGTCTCCAGATAGCCAGTTACCCTTGTTGTGTTATTGCTTTACGTTCTCACTGTGATGCTCAGCAGCACTGATACCCTTCAGCCCTTTCACTATTTGGTCATTAGAGAAAATTCTTCAGACAGCAATCTACCTTTATAGATAAAAAACAACTAGGCATATACTGTAAGTGCAGAGGGATATAACTTAGAGTTGTTTCCCCTTCAATTGCAGGTAGTCTTCTAAAAATTGAATCAGTTTTTGGTCATCTGATGGACAAGAGCAACATGAATAATGTATCTTGTCAGGCTRAAGTACCTTTCTCTCCTCAATGAAGGTGAAGGAGTATTTCAAAAGAAAACAGAAAAGCATCATATTTTTTGAAGCAACTGACTTTATTCTGAAGAGCTAGAGAAGAAAAAGACAAAAAAAGGGCAAATATGATTACTAAGTTCAAAATCAGCCTTTACAATGTGCCCATTATTGTCATTATTTTATAATGCTTGTTCTCTGTCTCCAGTCAGACTGAAGGTTTTCATTRCATAATTACTTCTGTCTCAAAAGTATGTCATCTTCTAGATATTAATTTTAATTCATTGTATATACTATGATACTCCAAGATACAAGACCAAGAAGGCACAGTGGAAGGGGGGCAGCTGAACAGTTATTTTAGGGAGGTGATCAGCAAGCACAAGAGCCTTTTCACACCTGTGTCAACAGGGTGCCCTGTGTTGATACCAAATTTTGGTTTATGCTGCTCTTTCATTATCTGCATGAGCCCTTATGAGATACCACAGACCATTTTTATCTGCTGTGCAAGATAAAATCCACATGGTGGTGTTGAGAACTGCAGAAACCTAATGAAAGTTTTAATCTAGCTTTGTTGAAAAATAATCTTATCAGTCATATTAGAAGCATAGGTGGCTGTTATATGAAACCTCAATGACAGCTTGTTTCATTCAAATTTGTCAGGGAGGGAACTGTTCGATACTTTCATTTCTGCGGRTCTTCACTTCCAAACCAATTCATTAATGGTGATTGATTAAAGGTGTTGCAAACCAGTCACTGCTGCAGGTGGCATAAATTGATTAATCGAGGCACCAACAATAGGAGGATGCATAATATAGAAAGTAAGT